AATGGATAGAAGGCCAGGGCTTGGCTATCCCTCCTTAGCTACCTCCCTCTGAGGAAGCTGCTCCTGAAAGTACCAGAGACCACAGTCTGGGAAGAAAATGCCTTTGTAAGGAAGAGAGGTAGGCACCAAGAGGTAATAGAAGAAACAGTATTGTCAGTACAGAGTCTGTGCTGGCTCTCAGGGACTTGAGAGTGTGAATCTGGGTTTCCTAAAGAGAGATCCAGACCTGCAGTGGGGCAGGAGGGAGAGTGCTAGGGGCACACATCCTGTATCCTGTGGAAAACCATGTGCTGGTTCCTTTCATGCACTATCCTTTTTCCCCATTTAAAAATACTTTTAGAAATGAACATGCTTTCTTAACTAAGTAGTTACGTTGGCCAGTGGTGTTGCAGCACACACACAGTATTTAAACAATGTGAGCTGCAAACCTGTGCCTTTCCTTCTATAGCTCTGCACTCTGTGCACAGGCCAACTCTACAATTTGCACCTGCCTTGGAAGCAGTTTGAAAGCAAATAATGATGTTTTGTTTTGGTGACTGGAAAATTGGGCTGTCCCAGGGAAGCTCTAATGTGTTTTTGCTTTGAAATTGTCATTTCACTGTGGTTTGGCTAATGGACACTGTTTCTTATCATGGCAGTATTTGGTGAAGGGCCCACGTAGAATCCTGCAGCTTTTGATTTGTTGTAGCTCAGATCAGGAACACAAAACCTATCTAGGCAAGCAGCTTGCCTCAAGCCTCATGTGGACCACCTACCTCCCTGTTTGAAGTGTGAACCACACATTTCCAGGAAAACTCAGCTTTTCCCCTAAAACAGAGATAACCTGGGCCATTAAATGTGGATTTGCATTCCAAAAGCCTCATAATCAGGTCTTTTACAATCACTGTTTGTGAAATGATCAGTAGAAAGATCAGCAGTACCCTAGAAATCCTCTGACCCTGTAAGTGGATGAGGTCAGGCATGTCCCTCCCTATCTGTAGTGCTCCATGACCTTTTATCCTCCAAACTGCTCCTCAAAGTCCTCTTCATGCCCAGTGCCCACAAAAGTCTGATAGCTGCCTTGCTGTCTGTCAGGTTCTTAGACATTGGGCCTGGTAAAAGTCCCCTAGAGATGGCTGCAGTAACCAGTCTTTGCTCTTCTGTCTGGATTCCCAGTAACTCCTGTCCCTGTGCCCATCTTGATCAGCACTCCTGGCTGGGTGCTGCCTGTGTTTCATCTCATTGAGCTCCAAATCTACATCAGCATTAACAGTGTCTGGTTCAGCTGCTGAGATGCTTTGGGAAATTGGCACCATGTTTGCTGTATGTTTGCTCAGCCCTGAAAATACAGAATGTGCTTAAGAAGTAATAGGTGGGAGAACACAAGCTGCCATGTAGTCATAGAGACATCCCAAATGGCCAGCAGCCCTCCAGAGAGGTTCTCAGGAAGGCTGGTGCCTCTGGCTGCTCTTGGCTATTTTGAGATCCTCCTGGGTCATAGGTATGAGCTTTAATCCCAGAAAGACTTTGCCAGCCATGTGTGGTGTCTTCACCTCTTGGATTGCATCAGGTGCTGTGAGACACAGCACTGCAAGCAATGGGGTTATTGTCTGGAGCCTGGCTCCAGCTCTCTCCCTTCCCATCATCTAGAGGCAGAAGGGAAAGTCAAAAGCTCTATCATTTTCCTGTATTCTCCCCTGGTCTATCATTGCTTAATTGTATCCCTAAATCTTATTAAATTCTGAGGTGACTCATTGCCACAGTGAGGTGGAAGCAGAGCTGAGTGAATTCAGGAGAGGAGGAGGAGGAGGAGTGTCTTCCCAGGTGAGTGGCTGAGCAGGAAAACCCACAGCAGAGAGCTCCTATCACTTCACAGGTGTTGCATCATCTGCCCACTGTTGCCTCTAATTTAATGCTCTAAACCCAAATCAAAACACCTGTAGTCCAAAGAGAATATAAAATAACTTGGAGTAGGAAATCCATGCTATTTAGACATGCAGATCTCTCTTAATCATCTGAGACCTTCTTCCAAGGTCACACAGGACTTATAATTGTGGTTCTGCATTGTCCTGTTGTATTGACTCTCCACAGAACCCACTTTCCACCACCAGGATAAAATTGTAGGATTAATCCAAGTGTCTGCATGTCTGTGTATTTCATTTGTGGCTACAGGAGTTCAGGCCTGTAAAACTCATTATGGTCTGTAGGATGGCAAAACCACTGTCACTGGACAAATAACTTGTCACAAACTGGAAACTCTCCTCTGCTTTTTTGTGTAGGTACCATTATATTCCCCTCTACTTTCTGTTCTGGTTTCTTGTGCAAATCCATAAGTTTGTTTTCCATCACATCTCAGGCTCCTGCTTCTCATAACTTTTAGAAGTTTAATGTGCCTCTTTGGCATTCTGTCCTGGCTGGGAATATGTTGCTGAAGGTAGGAGAGCCACCTTTCAGGGTGCTGGATGGAGCTCTTGACATGTGAGTGTATTCCCTCATGGAATATATTCCATCTAGTGGGATATATTCCATCCCCTGCTCAGCTGCAAGCAGTGAGTATGATATTTCATTTCTGTGCAGCACAACTGAGTGATGATAGGAGAGCATGGGAAAATATTGTACTCGGGATTTCCTGTCCTATTCCACACTGTTCTTGAGGATGTTGATGAGTTCATTGTCCCTAAAATTGGGATTATAGTGCCCAGGAGTTGTTTTGACTTGTTGAGCTTTGCCTGATGTGGGATGTCTGGAACCAAGAAGTACTGGAGCACAGTGCTCAGAGCTGGTTAAGCTCAGTGAAATTTCTCACTGGGTGGGAGAGAAACATTTGGGTGGCATGAGAGGGCACTTTTTTTGTGGAAGGGTGGAACACCAATGGAGGGCAGTAAGTCAGCTACACTACAGAGGGGTTTGCTAGGCAAATGCAAGTTTATTTTTGCTCATCAGTTGCTGCCTGGATAATGGTATCTCAGTTGTTAATGGAGCAAACTAGGGAAGCACACTCAGGAAATGCCAGGGCACTTTGTAAATGGAGTTTAATCTGCCATCCAAGAGAAAGCAAAGAAATTCCTGTTGAAATTGTAGCAGACCGCAATGTTCCAAAGGAAAAGAAAGGCCAGGGGAACACTGCCTCAGAATGGATGTAATCAGGCACTTAATGCTTCAGAAAAATACAGAATCACAGAATAATTGAGGTCAGAAGTGACCTCTGGAGATCATCTAATCCAAGTCCCCTGCTAAAAGCATGGTCAGCTAGAGCAGGTTGCACAGGAGTGTGTCCTGTTGGGGTTTGAGTATCTCCAGGGATGGGGAGCCCACAGCCTCTCTGAATGTCCAAGCTTGACCTCCTTGACAGTAAAAATTCATTTCCTTATGTTTAAATGGACTTTCCCAGATTTCAGTCGTTGCCCTTTGCCTCTTTAACTGGGCACCAGTGTGAAGAGCCTGGCTCTGCATCTACCCACTTTTATCAGTAATGACATACATTAATTAGGTTTACACCCTTCCCCACCCTCAGCCTTCTTGTTTGGGGCTAAACAATCTGATGAGAGAATAGGGAAGTGGGAGTTGTTGCAGGAGGTTGAGCTGATGCTTCTGGGCAGCTATTGAGGCCTAAAGCCCACCTGAATGCTGCCCTGAGCAAACAGTGATATACAAATAGTACAGATTAGCTCAAATGAGCTTTCTTGCTTTTTCTTTCCTTCTCTCCACCTTCTTCCTTTCCTTTAGTATCTTTAATTTATGACTGTTCCCTTGGCATTGTCCCAGATGTCTTCTGGGAATAGTTATCTCTGGGTCTTTTATCTCTCTGTTTCTCATTTAGTGTGATCTTGGCAGTCCCAAAAGCTAGGACATTTATGGTGAGTGATTCAGGTTGGTGCTCAGTTGATTTCTGTAACCTGCAGAGATGAGTGGTACTTTGGATAAAGCCTTGGACTGGAATTTGAGCTGGAGGTGAACTTCTGTGGATGTTCAATGTAGTTAGAGAATGGTTTTCTTCTTTTTAGAAAATAAACTTGCATATCTAAGGTTTGGGGAAGACAGTGGTCAAAATAAGGAAGTCCCAGATCTAAAGAGAGTAACAGTCTCAGTTCCAGACCTAGGAAGTCAGATGCTGGTTATTTAGACCACTGACAAATATTCAGGCCTATGGATTTGCATCTGAGACCACTGGACCATGTAGAGCTTGGCAAACCTGTGTGCCCCCAAATGAGGTATTAAAGCTCTGCTGTGCATTTTCATATTGGTTTGTTGGTTACAAAAACATGGCTGTCCCACATACCTGATATTACACATGTCAAAACGTTTGGTACAAAAATGTTAAATCTAGTTGAATGTGTAAATACTTCAAAACCTGTTAATTTTTCTTGTGCCAATTAATGTATTGGGGTTCAAGGAAGACAGAAGATTTGGTTTAGTTCTGCTTGTAGCCACTTTAAATCTGAGCATCTGGTCACTTACCCCCTTTACTAAGGTATTTTAAATATATTTGTTATATTGGTTTTGAAAGTAGAAGCTCCCCAGAACTAGTTAAATATGAAACCTTTCATCATTGCTATCAATCTGTCATATCTCCTCCCAGAAGAGACTTGTTAAAACTTGTCTTGGATTCAATCTGTCTTGTCAAACCATTTGAAGCACCTTAGGTGCAGAATCAGTTTCCCTGTATTTCTGTGAAATAACAGAAGTAAGAGGTTTGGATTATTAAAAAAAAAAAAAAAAAAAAAAAAAAACACAAAAAGAAAAGCCTGATCTTATTTAAGTAGAAAGAAAAGACCAGTTACCATTCATGAGGATTTAATTCCCAGGCTCATTGTATAATATTGCATCTGCCCACCTCTGCTTTTATTGTAGTAGCCCAAAATTACTGAGAGTGCATGTATAGGGGGAAAAAAAAAGTACAACCTTTAGAAGTTATGTGTTAAAACTGGAATTTGAAGCTTTGCTGATTCATCACAAAAGGTTTGAGTTGAATACTTATCAAAGGCTGAAGGCACTGAGCATATTCTCTGTTTTCCTTGTAGGTGTGTTACTGGACATCCAGCAGCACTTTGGAGTCAAAGACAGTGGGGCTGGCTTGCTGCAGACAGGTAAGAAAGTGTTTCTTCTCTCACTGCTCTTTGTAACATTCCATTTCTCTGATGGGTGCCTACAGATTCTTCATTATGATGCATAGGCATACTGGTTGTGAAATGTACTCTTAGAAAGGTGAATAAATACACTTCTACTGGGAAGCAGGAGGAACATGGAGGGGTTTTTTTTGGCCTTGATTTGCTGTTGGGCAGGAGATTGGGTCTCAGAATGACTTGAGTGTAGAATGGAACAATTATTTTATTTACAAGAACTAAATACAAACAGGAGATGGTTCATTCCCCCTAGCTAGAAAACTCATGATAAACCTACACCAGCATCCTGTTCACTTCTTTAGGTTGGTAATAAGTGTGATGTATTTTGCCCTTCAAGTGCTTGACAGAGAATCTGCTGAATGGACAGTCCCTGGGAGCATGGTGTGGCAGGAAAATGTAAAACTCACTGGGGCAAGAACCTGAGGATGAAAGCTGTAGGCAGGACTAACAACACTGCATCCATGAGAACTCAGGGATTAACAATAGCCCTGGAATTCTGCTTTAGCTACCAGCATTTCTCTTCTTGTGTAAGGCAGGATTATGGCAATTCTGATGTCCTTTTAATGGAGCAGGCATTTTCATGTCTCAGACATCTGAACAAGCCCAGGAGAACCTCAGCTTCTCTGGCCTCTGGTCCTGAGGGTTCTTAGAGGAGGACCTGCATCAGTGGCCTGCACAGGGTGACACTGAGTGCCAGTCTCATGCACACACCACAGCACAGTTGGATCCTCTTGGAAAGGAGTAGCAGTATTTTTAAGAAATGCAGTATTTTAAGAAAACAGTCTGCTTTGAAAAGCTCCTACAGAACTATTAATTAGAGTCACAGATTTGAGGTGCTGTAGCTGTCTTGTCACTGTCATCTGTCTGAGGGAACCACACTGGAACAATTATATCTCTGAAAAAGTGAGAATTCTGTTAGGTTTTCAAATAGTGTGCCAGCATGACATGTTTTGCTATGCTGTCATGGTGGATACCAAACACTTGTCAGGAGCTTGTCTGTGAAATTGTGGCCAGCACTGAATTGTATAAAATCATTCATTCTTTATGACCTCACTAAGGTGAGACTATTCTGGAGCTCCATCAATTGGTCTTTGATTTCAAATTTTGTGAACTGCAATATCCCCTCCTTTTTTACTTCCTGCAGCCCGTGGCACAGCAGTGTCCTCATCTGTGGTTGCAGCTTCTTGGTAATGTTGTAATGCAAACAATTAATAATAATTTGTATTAAATGTTGAAAAAATGCTGTCCTTGTGGGACAGCAGAGCTCAGCTCAGCTGATGTGAGCAGCATGTGTCCAGAACAGAAGGTTTCAGCTTTACAAGTGTCACTGATTATATGTAGCATCAATCAGTTATGCCCAAAATGGCACTGGTTGTCTGTCGGATTCTTTTCTACAGCAATTATTTGTATTTATTTATTGTACTCATGGGAACAGGTCCTCAATGTATCATTAGACACAAAGTGCTTTTAAGAAAATATTCTGGTGGAAAAGGACACTTGCCAAAGCGTGTATTTAATCTTCATTCACTTCAGTGGATGAAAAGCTTCAGTAGATTATTCACTGACAGCAAGTAAAAGCTAACTTCAGCAGGATATTCATTTGTTAATTGCAAGATATATATTATTTATTTCTCTAGCAAACACACAGGGCATCTGAAAACAGCATCACTGAGATATTGCAGGATTTCTCTTGAGTTTGTCAAGTTTTCTAGCAGGTAATTGTTACTTTTAGAAAAGCAGTATTTTCTCTTGGGGTTTTTTTGCTGATCTGAAAACTGGGGACTTGACTTTGCTTCTGCAATATAGATAATAATGTACTAATCACAATGCTATCAGAAGAAAAGAGTGCTCAGAAAATAAAACACCATTTCATGTAAATAAGGATAGAGGCATGTAACTGAAGGCTTATTCAATCTATTCCTCCAGCTCACCAAGTTTCTGTGTTGGCAGGTGGCCCATGGCCCAGGTATCCTTGATCCTGCTTAGACAAAAGATGCTACCCTAAACCACCACAAACATTGCTTCTAATCTTTTGTCTTTTCTCTAAACCAGACTTCTCAATGTTAAAATCAGGGGAAGTGGTGCAGTGTAAAAGCACTTGCCCAGGGTTACAGAAGAAGCCTGGAGCAAAGCTGGGGCCAGGCCAGGTGTCCCCCACTCTTCTGCCCTAGCCCTGAACACTTCCTTTGCCAGCAGACACACAAATATTGTTTGCTTCCCATGAGATGGTCCTGCTAACTAATGGAGTGATGTGAGACGAAAGACTGTTCATCCTGATTATGTCCTCTGAATAAGGACTGGATTAGTCCTCAGGTTGTTGATCCTGCATCTAATTCAGTCCTAAATTAATTTACAATGTTAATGAGGGGGAGCGAAATGTAGTAGATATGCAGTTCATATCACTCATGAAAAAGGCAATAAAAGAAATAACTTTAAAACATTTAAAAAGCCTTTTAACTGAGAAACAAGATTGCACAAATTTTTAGGAGGAAATGGTTCTGAAAATCCAAACAGAAAGTGGGGAAAAGAAATCTACCAAGGGTAATGTTTGACCCTGTGTTCATCCCACACCCCACTCGTTGCAGGCACAGCTGATCTGGCTTCTCTCTCCCTCTGATCACTTGCAAGCCAATCCATACTCTTAGTTTCTGATGCTGTCTGGAAAGCAAAGGTGACTTGATCCTTAGGAATTGCAGACACAAATAGAATTTTTGTCTTCATTTATATTAATCCTGACATACAAGCTGCTCTTTAATCAATAGAAAATGTAAACTGGTTAGAGGGACACTGTAACTCCCTGTACAGAAAAATCACAGGACAGTCCAGCCTCATCCATAATGGAAAGAAGCAGACCATGGTCTGCTCTACAGCAAGCATCCTGTGACAGCAGAGGACACACTGACAGATGGAGCACAACTGCTGCTTGCTCAGTAGCATTCTAGAGTAGCACACATAAAACTGGTGATCTGAGCTCCACTTATCCCCTGATGATCTGTAACTGTGTGCTGATCTTCCCTTTTAAAGCACTACATATGCAGTTGTGTAAATATTGGTTTAGTTGACCATCCCACAGGTCTGCATCCAAGCTTTCTTGTGCATTTCAGTTCTTACTGGCTGCTTTTCCCAGCTAGAGAAAGGATAAATCTGGCTGAACTCAGAAGGTGGTGAAGCATCTCTGTGCCTGCTTGAGCTGTACAGATGTAGCCAGTCAATGCATTTATAAACCAAACCATACAAAAAGTCTTATCTATGAGTGGAGTTACGTAGGAGCAGCTACAGAACTACAGGCCACAGGAACACAAAGACTAAGAAGGTGGACAACTGAATTTGTACTGCTTCAACTGGATTTTAAACTGCTTCAAAATATGTTATCCTTCCATATACACTCCACCAGGGGAGTAATGCCCCAGTAGTGTACTCTGATTTTGACTAGATTATTTTCCCTTCTTTCTACAATTTTCTGCTGTATTGCTCTCTCTGCTCTCTGTGGCCTTGAATTTATTTTGCTTTTGTGTCTCTTGCCAGTGTCTCTGTAGCACTAATAATAGCAGTGGTTGGCTCATTATACAGTTTGTCATCCAAAGATCTCAGGATGTTTTATATTGGGAGGGTTTATAAGGCTGGGCCTTATAGATGGGGAAACCAAGAAAGCCAAATGGGAAAAATGCCCAAAGTGGCACAGCAGGTCTGAGGCAGAGCCAGGATGAGAACTACAGTCCAGTTCCTGAACATGCAGCATTAGTGTTACAATTTAATTAATTAATGAGGTTAATGCTTAGATGCAGAGATTTGGTCCTTGTTTCTGGGCACCTGAATCCTCCAACCCAGACAGCTCCAGCTCAGGGACTTCTGCAGGTGGAAACTGGGAGGTATCAAATGGAGGTTTTTGCAAGGATTCCATGGAAATGCAGAGGGGGAAAGTGTCGGACTCCAGGAAGAGCACAGAGATGTCATTAGAAGAAACTCTGGTAGGCAAAAGTGTATAGTGTAAGGTCACAAGCCAGGAAATGTAAGGAGGTGAGAGATCAGCAAGGACTCATGAAAGGTGAATAATCATAGATAACTGTGGCTCTGAAGGAACTTGTCTTTCCTCATGTGCAGAGGGATGGGCATTCCCCCTGATGCCTTTCAGCCCCTGATTTCCCAGAAAGCCAAGCAATGCCAGGTACTTTTTTGTGAATATTGTTGTGAGCTCACTTTTCCTTCAAGGGTCAATCACAACTACAAACTCTCTTCATTTGAAAAGTGGAACTTTTATCTACCTGTGTTGCCCTACCTCTTGAGCTGACATAGTGTAACCTTTCAGTAGGTTACACCTTACAAATACACAATCAGCTCTCTTGTGCTGTGATTGTTCCCACCAAGCTATAAACACATGCACTGAGAAGGGGTCCTGACAATGGTGGGATAAATCAGACTTGATGAAATTCAGTTCCCTTTGACTCCCATCTTCTTGTCACTGGCTTATGGTGGCAGCTGTACCTCTCCATCATTTTTATTTATTCCATGCAGAAACCACATTCTCCAGGTGCTGCCCCTGAATATGTGTATATTACATGAGTTGCAGGTGCTGCTTGTTTCTTTTCTACCATCTGCTTCTCCCTAGATGGACAGTCTTTCTCCTCAGCTGTGCTCTGCAGAATTGAGCTACATCTTTACTTTTTGCTTTCTATTGCACCTGCTTGACTGTTCCTCTTGCTAGAACAGAGAAAAACACAATCTAAACACTTTCAGTTTTCTATTTTAAATTCATGGGCTTTCCTTTTGGGTGAATGGCTTCCTGCACCTGAGCACTTCCCAAGGAGGTTCCTCAGGTATCCAAGCCAGGAAGTGAGATGGAATGCTTATGGAATACTTTGTGCTTGCTCTTCTTATGACTGCAAATGGTTTGGTCCACCATGTCCTACCCACTGCCTTCTTCCCTGCTTCCAGCAAGACTAAGCATTCTTAAATCCAGGTTTCTT